CCGTAGTCGTAGAGGCCGGCGACGCCGCCGTAGATCTCAAAGGCCGGGGTGTAGAACATGCGCCGCCGGAGCATGGAGTCGAGGACAGCCCTGTCGAGGGGCTTGCCCTTGAGGGTTGTCGCTTCGCTGGTCATGGTGGGCTTCTCGGGCGATGCGGAGGCTGGGAGGAGGGGCTTGGTCCGGCGTGGGAAGGCGAGGTTCTTGAATGGCGGCGGCGGGGTTGCAGAGTAGTGTCGCGCGCGGAGATGCGAGGCTGCGAGATTGACAACACGAGGCGCAAGTGGCCTTTTCACGGGGAGTTGAAGGAGCTTCATTCACAACAACAAAGGTGGGGGAGGGGGAGGTGACAAAAATGAGTCAAGGTCCACTGGTCGAGGGGCAGATGGCGGCTTCCAATCGGAGCCGGCGTGACTGCAGGTACTCGTCCGAAACAGGAGATGAAGCAGAGCGCCCAGGTGCCGGGCCTGGATTGGGACTTGTCCTCTAGGTCTGTCCTGTCGAGTTCCAAGTCCGTGGATGGCTTGTGCTGCTTTGTGCGCCTGCGACCACAGCAACAGACAAAAGAGTGCAACGACGGTTCAGCCGGTTGGACCTGGTCCCATAGCTCTGTACAGGCTAAAAGTTCTCCGTCTTGTTTTTGTTTGAATGGATTAAGGGCTGCGCAGGCGTTGTCATTTGAGATCGTCAATGTCCAGGTTGTCCGCCGAGCGGCCACATCTGCTCTGTAGTCAGTTCGCGGGGCCAATCATGTACCACTCCAGCAAGAGCGGGGCCGGCGTCGAGCGGCCCCACTAAAACTTTTTGCAATCGCTATCGCAACTGACGCTGGCGATTCTGCATTTCCTGCGACCAATGCGATTGCAACCTCTCAAGCTCAGCTTTCATCTCATTTCGCGGCAGCAATCAGCATACCTATTCGGGCAGCTGTATCTACACGTGCGATCGTGGTTCCCTTTCTTCCGCACGCCGAGCGCAGCGACTGCACCCTCACACGATACCCGACTACTGCGGTCGCTCAGCACACGATGGGCTCGAACTTGATCAACAAGCGAGCCGGCAACAAGCTCCGTCGCCAGGAGCTGCATGTCAGGCACAAGAGGCAGGATGAGAAGGATAAGCGTGAAGCTCGTTTCAAGCGCAAGAAGGAGGAGGCCAGAGACCCCGAGCTTCGACGAGCCCGCGTCACAAAGAACCAGCCGGCCTCGATCGACAAGAAGCGAGTATGGGACGATGTCGACGACGACAGCCTCGGAGCCATTGTCGACATGGCACAGCTCATGAAGAAGCGGCGTCTGCAGCAAGAAGAGGCCGAGGAGCGTGCTGCTGCTGGACTCGACGAGGCTGACGAAGAGGAAGAAGCCCAAGACGACGAGAACGAGAACGACAGTATGCTCGGCTCTGACGACGAAGATGACGAGGAAGACGAGGATCTTGCAGCCAAGGCGCGGGCGAAGCAGGCCATGCGCGAGGACAGCACTGCCGCCTCGACGACCTCCACCAACCTCGACATCACACCTGAGGCGCTCGTCGCCCGCTTCCCGACGCTGTTCTCCGACGACCGGCCGGCTGAGCCCAAGATCCTCGTCACCACAAACCTCAACTCGACTCTTCACGATGACGCACACCTGTTGTGTACGCTTTTCCCGAACTCGCAGTACATCCCCAGATCGGCGCACAAGTACGCGCACAAGTACTCTGTTCGCGAGATCAGCAAATTCGCCAGCAACAGGGGTTTCACTGCGATGGTAGTACTGCGGGAGGACCAGAAGAAGCCCATTGGCTTAGATATTATGTAAGACGCGATCTCGAGTAAATCGGGGCTTCCAAGGACTGACATGTGTTCAAGACACCTGCCCGCCGGTCCAACATTGCAAATGAGCATCAATACCTGGATTCCTGGCAAGAAGCTGCCCGGTCACGGCAACCCTACAAACCACTATGTATGTACGAGTCGCCCCAAATCTGTTTACTGCCGTATTGACCAGGAGATACAGCCTGAACTCCTCCTCAACAACTTCCGCACACCACTCGGTGTGTTGACCGCCAAGTCGTTCCAGAACCTCTGGCCACATGCGCCGGAGTTCCAGGGCCGGCAAGTTGTGACGCTACACAATCAGCGTGATTATATCTTCCTGCGACGGCACCGCTACGTGTTCCGCGACAAGCGGGCGACGGAGAAGAGCGTGGTCGGTGCGGACGGCAAGGAGCTCAAGGGCGTCGAGGAGATCAGGGCGGGTCTGCAAGAGCTTGGCCCTCGCGCCACGCTGAAGCTGCGGAGGATATACAAGGGAATTGGTCGTGCTGGTAGTGAAGGCGAAGATGCCGTCCAGTGGGAGTGGAAGGCCAAAATGGAGAAGGTCCGGACGAGATTCAACTTGTAGGCGGGGGAGGTCCCAAGTGCCTCGACTGCACCAGCTTGTGGTTCTCGGCCGGGGCGGTCTTCTTCAGATCCTTCCGATGCTTGTCGTGTTTGACCTTTCGGTCAAACGTCGCGCCACACGCGCACGTGAAGGTCATCGGCTGTTGTAACTTGCAATTAGCCATTGTAGTGCAATCAAGTGCGTAGCCTCTGGACCTTCGGACCTCTGGACCTCTGGACCTCTGGACCTCTGGATAGAGACTTACCCGCAAGGGACAGGTGCCAAACTCCCGGTGCCTCTGGAGAGCCGCGTTGGCGCGAGCCTCTCCCTCCTCTGTCGACACCACAGTCGCGAAATTGCACTGCGGTGGGACGCGCAGGTCGCACCGCCGGGTGACTGTAGACTTTTCGGCGACGCCACCCCCGGACGAGCTTTCGCCCTTGTTTCTTTTTGCCTGTGATCTGTTAGCGAAGGGTAACAAGAATGAAAGAATCTAGGGGTTTGGTTATGGAAACAGCCCAAGCCTACTCACCGCGTTACCGGAGACTCCCCCCAGCGCCTCTCTCTTCTGGCCACGCAGAGACGAGAGCAGCATCTCGTCTGGCTCTGCTCTACCTGTCAGCGTCACCTCAGGCCTCGCGCTCGACTGTACTATAAAACACACCTGGTTCGTCGACCACTGTACTCCGATATTAGCTTATATGGTACTTTAGAGACAGTCGACAGGAGAGACTTACACGTCTCTGACTCAGGAGAGCCCTCGTCGTCCCATCCCCACCCTATATACGTCCATCAAAGTCAGTACGGTACCCATAGAATCATACAAGGACATCTGAAAGATGTACAGCGCAGCGTGCGTTTATGTCAAGGGCGCGGTGTGGATTGAAGGCTGTCGGGTGTAAAGAGGTCTGATCTCATGAAAGTGTGAGAACATGGAATGCATCGAGAGGCTGAGAATCGAGGAATCAGGGTATTAACAGGCACTGAAGTTTGAGGTAGATGGGTTTGCCAGGGGAGCCGAGGCGTTGAGGAAAGAGTGTCTGTAGGGGTCATGTGGTCGAGATGTCCTGAGGTCGAGGCGAAGAGCTATCGACAGATCTCGGGTGCTTCGAATCGATGGGATGATCAAGGGATTTAGTAGTTCACGGACTTACCACCGAGCGGCAGAGGAGGAGGAGGAGGCGGAGGCGGGCCGGGCAAGAACCGCAGGAGAACGGACTTGCCCTCTTGGTTCACTGTCGAGTCGGTCATTGTAGATAGTTTTTTTAAGACAGCGTAAAGAGAGAAGGATTCCGCGAACACGAAACTGCATCGGTTCACGGATTTTGCAGTGTTTCCCACCAAGGAGCGTGGCACCCTGTAGCGGAAGGTACGACCGGACCTGTGCCGCTTACCCTCGCTCCTTCCTCCTCTCTAGCACTCCGGACATCAGCACCCAACTTTGAGTTTTGTCATGGTTAATATTTGCACAGGTCATTACACAGGTCACTTCTCTCATTGCCTAGCATATTACAAAGTTCTCGGCCATTGCACTTAATGGATCATTTCACGGTAAACCGTATCGTTCAGCAGCCTCTCTTCATGCACATGAGACACCTTCAAGCGTCGAGACTGCCGGCTTACAGCGAGACGGAGCTCAGGCACATTTGGTCTGGCACATCAGTGCAGCGAAGGACATCGCATGGCAAGCACTGATCATTGTCTCAAGTCTACCTGAAGTTTCTTATATGCTGCACCACTGGCCGGTGTGAGGAACTGTCGAAAATGGAAATGGAAGGAACGCTTTCCCCACTTCACATTACCAGTGGATTGACTGGACTCGATTACAACACTCTAGGCACAACTACGAAAACAGCAGTACTGATTTTGAGAGATTGCCTACGAGGCTCTGCGTCAAATTCGACTTCGCTCGGGGCACGATTGATGTTCAGGTTCAGTGCTCGCAGGCTGTGGACGTTGACCACGACGTTAAAATGGACATTTCGAGAAGCTGCATTCCCCTTAGCAGATGAGCCCAGCCCGACGCGACTCTGGTGATTAGCCGAATGTTAGATATCAAGAGGGCTAGATCAACACTTTCGCCAGCGATGTCCATCTGCTTGTGAATAATCTTTTCGAAGGGACCATCTGGGACCTCCCGCGACAAGGAGTAAAAATAAAAAAAACCCTCTTTCGTGCAGCTTCCTCTAGAAGTAGCGAGACAACAGGCATATTAATCGCTACCCTTTCGTCTACAGATGCTCGCCAAAGGTGCGATTGCCGTGTTGAAATCCGAAAGTGCTTACACAAAGAGTCAAATCGGCCAGGGTCTGTTGGCCAGCTGCTCGATGGGATGTTATGGTCCCTGTCGTATTGAGATTCGAGACAATGCGTGTATCGGCGCGGAGGGCGCCCGAAGGGCGCCCGCCAGCCGATTTATATGCAGTTAAAGAGCAGTCATTTCAACGACAAGAAAATCGTACAATTCGTTGGCCCGCTTAGCACAGTGGCGAGTGCGCCGCACTTGGATTGACGAAGACAGGAATGAGGAGGCACCTGGGCATTGGAAGATGTATATATTCAATTACAAAAGATTCTGGGGTAAAGAAAAGAAGAAAAAAAAAAAAGAGTCTCTAAACTTGAAGGTTAACCTTCATGGGATGCCCACTGGCTGGATTGAACAACCGACCTCCGCATAGACTATGTGAAGTACAAGTGCGGCGCACTACCACTGTGCTAAGCGGGCCAACGAATTGTACGATTTTCTTGTCGTTGAAATGACTGCTCTTTAACTGCATATAGATCGGCTGAACTGGGGGGGGGGCAGGCTGCTCGGGTTAAGCACACTTCTCTGAGACATTGTCAGAGGAGGTCACTCCAGCACGACATTGAGTCGACACACACCTCACATGGTTATAGAGAGCCTTGATCAGTTCGGAAGGGCCACGAATGAGTCTCATCTCGCCTCGACAAGGATAGCCTCCTCTCCACACATCCCTTGCTCCTTTCCTCGTAGATCTGTAACCACGGAGTGGTCGAGGACAACAGCTATGTGAAAGCTTGTGCGAACCCACAGAAGAATGAATCGGGCAAGAGGCCTGTGGACACATCATTTTGTCTAATATCCATTAATTAATATCTTGATGCGCCTCAATCCCCTCGTCAACGGTGTCGTGTCACTTGGCTCTCAATCACCCAATTTTTCGATGTGCCTATGACAACTTTCACGCTCAGGGCTTTCAACGGAACAGAATAGGGTGTCCCCAAATATCTCAACAGCAGGACAGCGAACAAGATAGTTCTCGGCCGTGTCACGGCCATCGCAAGGCGCTTCCATATGGTAATCTACGGCAAGTAAAGCAAATCTATGTCATAACTTTAGTGTTGCGGATGACCTCGTCGCGCGTGCTGACCTATCCTGTATCTGCGATCTTACAACCAGTATTCAACCCGCAGTCCGTTTGGCCTCAGCAATCGATTCATCTCCAAGTACCAGGTCATGCCTAGTCATCTTATTCATCGTCAGCCTCGAACGGCACAGGCTGTGCTTCCTCCTCCCCCTCTGCGGTGGCTTCCGTGGCAAGTCGGAGAGCCTCATAGATAGTGGAGGTTTGGAACTCTGGAATCAACCTGTCCGCCGAAGAAGCCAACGGCAGCCCAAACACGCGCAGGTAAGGCTGTCTCTGACGAGTGTGCTGGGCCTGTCTGCCAGCTTGCTTGCCCATGAAAACGCACTCTCGAAGAAGTGCACGGCACCGCGGGCTGGTGTGGGTGATGGTACCGTCAGCAAGTGTCACTTCCTCAGACCGGCGGTCTTCCGGGGCCTTCGAAACCTTGGTAGTCTTGCGCAGGTTCTCAAGCTCGCAGTAATTGCCATTGCCCAAGGATAGGTCTCCGATCGGGAGCAGTCCCTTGTGGTCGTCAGGGATCAACTGCTCGAGGCGGGGGCGATTCACGAGAATCGCGCGCTCAATCACCCCGTCTGCGACGAGAGCCGGCTGAGCCATGATAGTGGCGCTGATTGGTGTCAGCTTCCAGACGCGGTCTACAAAGTTGTAGTCAAGCTCATGGATTTGAGCCACTGACATGCGGGGGAACCTTGCCACCCAGTCAGGAACGGAGCCTCCCTCCCAGGTCCATTGATCGAGGAAAGCCATCACTGCAATGGCCACGTCGAAGCGGTACGGCAATGCCACTAGGGCACGGGCGACAGCAGAGGCACCAGCATCGACCCCCCTCGACTTGCCGGGACCAGCAGTGAGGTATTGCTTGTATAGCTTGCCGTCGGTGCCTCGATACTGAATACGAAGTGCCAAGTCCTGACTTCTTCTCCAAAGTCCTACGATGGGACCAGGATCTGGGACCGACAACCATGGCATTGGATGCGGTCCATGACCATCAGCGCAAAGCTCCCAGGTCACATGAACCTTGCCACCCTCTGGGAGAGCGTCGTGCTTGTCTATCTTGAAGCCGATGTTGCCAGGGCGGATTGTGATGCTGTAACCCGGGTTGATGTCGCCGTTCTTGATGATGGAGACAGGGTACGAGCGAGGGTACACATATTTGATGGATGTCCCCTCCGAATCGCGGACCGGCAAGCGAATCCATGGAACGTCGTCTTTGAAGTACTCCGTTGCACCCAAGGCCCCAAGTGGTGACTGCTAATTCTCCCCGACCACGACCTCGTCCGGGAACCCGAGTGGCGGGAGTCCAACCACGTCCCGAGCGATCTCTTGACATTGCCGAAGACTGTCTGCCATCGAGACGAAGAGGCTGAGATCCACCAAGTTCATTGATGTGACCTCTTTCAATGAGTCGTTGCTGACATGGGAGGCCTCCTGTAGGCGAACCGGGTTGTAGGTGTCGTGCATCGAGATCATGCACTGCTCAGCAATGTATCTACCACCCGCTCGGCTCATCATCGCAGAGTCTTTGCGAAAAGACAACAAGCGGAAGACCTTGAACTTGAAGTTGTGAAACCGCGATATCAGCTGGCTCATACGGTAGTGCGAGCCATTGACGGGGACGCGGCTCGACGCGGCCTCTCTGATGAGCTTTGAATGCTCTTCAAAACGTCGAGACATATTGTTGGTGACGCCTTCGTAGCAGCCCCAAATCTCCCGGACTCTTGTGGTGGGTTCTACGGTGTCCTGGAGACCAAAAACCTGGCAGTTCGGAATGATGTCGCCGCCGGGCAGATAGACAGTGTTGTTCTTGATCATAGTTCCTACGGGGATCTCGGCGCGTTCACGAATGGCATAAATATGCTGTCGATACCCAGCATACTCATCGGCTCGGCTCGCGTCGACCTCGAGGCCACTTTTCCAGACTTCCCTCGGGTGGGCTGGGCCGTCCTTCAGAAGGCTCCAAGAACCGGCTTCGCGGCTGGCTTGAAATCCTCGACCTGTCAGCATCCCTCGTCATACGAGGCAGAGACTGCGTCCACGTACCTTCAACCAACGCCTCAACCATCTGTTGCCTACTTTCATCCTCGCGCATCATGTCAACAAGCTCTTGATCCAGGCGAGCAACCGAGGGGAGGTTGTCCGCATTCGCGGCGATGACCTGGAAAAAAGAGTCCTGGAGCAAGTAGAACATCGAGTTCTGGGCCAGTTTGAGCTCTGGCGTTGAGATACAACTGCGAGGGAGGTCAAGCTGGTTGGGCGTCGCATAAGGCTTGCCGAAGCGAATCTTACTTGCTGGAACGGTGCCTGAATTGTATATTTGCCAACCCCCCTCAGTCTCGTTGTGGATGGGCTCTTCCTGGAAGCGATATAGGCGAACCTGGACTGGCTGGTTTGGCTGGATATTGAAGCTGCCATCGTCGTTTCTCATACCAGCTTCGACCCAGACAATACCGACATCGTCAATATCCATTGTGATTGGGGACTGTTCATTCTCTTCCAGCCGCTCGACAAAATCAGAGCCCACCTCCTGACTAAAGTAATTGGCCCGATGGACAGCCCATGCCTTCGTGCAGGGCGCCTTGGCAACGAAGGTCCACCACTCTGCCACTCCCCCACCGTTTCGAGGAGTTTGAGTCTGAGCAGATGGTAGACTACCGATGATGCCAGGAGCCTGTTCTGTGGTCTGCTGTGAATGCTTGGGAGTGTGAACGTCTGCTGAATCGTCTGGAACTTCCGGTGGTCGAATCTGCAAAGTCAAGCTGGGGGCGGATGAAGGGGGGTGTGCGGCGGCGCCAGAGCTCTCATCAACACCCGAATCGGGGAATTCTGCTCCCAGAGCGATAGCTGTAGCGTCAGAAAGCGGATCATCGTCTGAGTCGGAGATGACGATGGCATTGGTCGCGGCGCCTGGAACGGAAGCACTCTGATTGGGAGTAGGGTTTGCGGTGGTTGCTGGAACACGGGCAGAGGTGGAAGTCCCAGCAGAACCAGAGGCTAGAGCGGAGAGGGGAGCAGAGCGAGAGGCACTAGCAGGAGTCGTGACACGAGCGGGCGCAGGAGAAGCCGTAGCAGAATCAGTTGAAGAGGCGCCAGGATTGGCGGCAGAGCGTACGATGTCACCAGAGTCCATGGAATAGCCCGCGATGTTGTTCCGAGGGCCAATGCTGTAGGATGACACACTCCGTGTCTATTCACGCATGCCAGTACACACAGTTAGTTGTCTGCCACGGGATAGTCTGATCTAGGCCGACAGGATGGCGACATACCTGGACCGACTCGGGAGACGGGGCAACTATCGGTGCTCGCGCGAATAGCTGATCCAACGTAGGACCATGATGAACAAAGCCACGGCCGCGACCGCGACCGCCACGACCGCGGCCACGACCACGACCACTACCACTGTTCGCCATCTCGAAATAGTGGTCCAAGGCGCTCTGGAGAGAGAACGAGGCGAAATCAAACTTGGGCGTCGTCTAGGTTGACGTCGAAGCGTTCTAGATCAAGAGACAAGTTTAGGGCCAGTATATAATCGAATGGAGAGGTTGAAAGGATCAAGTAGTCTGGTTGCGGTTCACGAAGATCGGGGTACAGCTAGGATAGAAACTGTGCTGGCATAAGAAAGAAACTGAGCTGAAAGAACGAGGGCTTGTCTCTTTAAATTGATTTCGACATTGCAATCCAAGAACGGTTATGCCTGGAAAAGAGCCGCCTGAATATCACTGAGAGACCTTCGCGTACTCACACACAAAACAAACATGGCGATGTACTTCGTTTGTTGGCATCCATCTACCAACCTGGCCTCATCGCGTTGTCGGACTCATGTTCCCGCGTCATAGAGCCGTGTGGCTGACTGATAAGTATTTCTTCCGGCTGGGTGCGGGAGGCGACATTACAATGGGACCGGACCAGTTCATCATATCAAACGCGGAAGTCGCCACGCCTGCAGTGTCGATAATGAGCTTGTCCCCTGTCCCCAGACAGAGTCAATTATTGGCACCTAGTAAATTTCCAGCAATGGGACTTGTCAGGTTGTGGTGTAGAATCTAGATGATTGACAGATATTTTCTAGACCAATACTCAAGAACCGGGCCAGAGACAAATCTGATTGAAAAGCCACCAGGTGATGTTTAGGAAGGTCTGAAAGCCGAGCGACTGCGAGACAGTAAACGAATCATTGTCAAGGAAACTCTAGGGGCTCGCCTGGCCATCCGTTCAAAAAACGACAGTTTGGACACAGTCTCCGCGACTTCAATGCCTGTTAGTGAATGCAGGTAAGCGTAAAGCATGAACCAAGAGCATTCCGCGGCATTCTACTTGGCTATAGATAACTTCGGCTAGCTACGTATATATTGCACATCCGTGTGATGTATGGGCAAACGACGACCCTCTTCCCTTCCTTCAAGACATGCAACTTGCCGTGATGTTGTCTTGTTGGATTATAGGCAATGAACAGCCGCAAGCTCGCCCGTGCGAAGCTGTCTTGGGTTGGTTTCGGGAACCCCAAACCGATTTCGCGCTGGATCACTGATGCCGCTCGTTTCACGAACTATCATCTTAGCCGCATCGGTCTCAACAGCTCCATTCTCGACTGCCGTTACACACATAGGCATTAGAGCTAATTCTGATCTTCATGTCGCTCTTGAAATCCCACTCATGTTATACCCGAGGTATACTTACAAGCATTTGGGATATAACAGTCCATGTTTCGAATCATAAACCTGTGACGGACACTGGTTTTGCAAACGTGTTCAATCACCCCGCAGCATCTGTATATGCTACCGTTATTGTATATAGGTTTCCAGTTCAAGGAGGAATGTATAATGCTTATTAGTCTGGTAGCAGTCCTAACTTCTAGGCGTGAAGCCCGGTTGTTGTCCCCTCAAAAGGCGTCCCCACACAGCACGACGCAGGCTGAAAGTGCAGGTCTTTCTATTGATGATTCCGGGTTGCGGCTTTTGGCGCGTAGAAACCCTGATGTCAGACAGTCGCGTTGTATATGTCCCTGTCATGTGCCTATGGATGATCGGAAGTGCAGACATCATATGCGTACGCGTATGCATCCGCCCGTGTTGTCCTCAGGGTTAGTGGTGCTGCGGACCGACGCACTCCCGGGTGGGCCGCACCTGCATGGGCCAAACCCGGCAGCTAACCTGCAGGGTCCAGATCGCGTGCAGCCAAGCAGACATCGGGCCCATGCCTCACTCAACGTCGTCCAATATCAGTCGTTCCCGACCGCACGGCTTTCCTCGTCAACTTTGTGCAGGCACATTCACTGCGAGAACTAGGGTGAGCGAGGATGCCAGGCTACATATGTTCAATGTAGGCACTGTCAGTGGGTTAAGCACACAGTGGCATATTCCATGCTGCTGTCAGGGGCTCCACGGCAGGAAGGACTACATGAGCTAGCCACTTACACTCGACCTGTGCGGTAATACGCAGTAAGCGACACGGGCGCCAGATCACCCTGCCGAGCCGCACGTCTGGCAGCTGCGAGTCCAGTTGGGGATCAGGGTGGAACCTGGCTGACCGCTGCGGATGTCAGTCCGAGAAAACGCTCGGCTGCCATCGGTGCCCTCAGGTGCCCTCAGTCGTCTCGTGCTCGCAGTGTTAGGGTACGGACGGGTTCGCCCTGTGCAGACCTGGGCAGTCCCAAGAACCACAGAGTACGTGTGCTATCTCAGATCCACGTAGACTTGCGAGTGGCCCAGGGACCTGCACTATGTGATCTCATACTCTACCCTGAGCGTGGTCTTGCAAAGCTCGATTCGGGGCCCGCCCGCTGGTCCCATATAACAAGCTCACTCGTAGATCACGAGTAGCGTATCTAGTCCACCTTGCACGTTAGGCCCTCTGCTCTGGTGATGCCTAAAAGTACATGTGCGCGTGTGCCTGCCACAAATGCGACAGCAGCCCCACCTGCTGTACGGGCTGATGGACCCATCGCGGGAGCTCACCTCAGGCAGCTTGTTTGCGCTTGTAACAGCTGGAAAGCACGCCTTTATGAGCTGGGAAGGCTACAAAAGGGTCGATGTTGCCGGCAGCCGACTTCAGATGGATCCTCCCGAGCGAGCCCGAGTACAATCAGGCCAGACATGCAGACATGCAGACATGCAGATATGGCGGCTGCTGGCATCGCTGCCCTTCCGTGCCGGAGTCCGCCTGAAAAGCGTTGCCGGCCATGGGCGAAGCACCAGGGTGGTCTGTTATGCACAAGCACTGCGCATCCATCATGGCGCTGCATCCCGTTGCGATACGTCACAAAATGTCGCCTGCAGTAGAGACGGACGTGGCGCCTGATGGTTCTGTGACGAACGGACTAGGGGAGTGCTGGCTGCTCAGTCGTGCATTGTCGATTGTGGTGGCGTGCCTCGAAGCTGGAGGCGGTCATGGGTTCCCGACTTCTCAGATGAAGCAGGTGTCCTCGTACAAACAGCATGGCCACTGGTCCAGAGCCTGTTTATCCCTCTAGGTTACCAGCTCATGAAAGATGCATGAAACAGAGAGAGGGGAATAGACGTGGATGTCCTACTGGGCGATTCGATGTCTGAGGTGCATATCATGACTAAGGGTACGTGGTGGAGTACCTCCGAAGACGTGGTGCCCAAGTGAGGTCAGGGTACGGGTACCGGATCCACGAGTCAGTTGGGTGGCGCTGTCGGGCATGACCCTCCAGCACTCCATCCACCCATCGCCAACTCCACCTGGGCACCCATCGCCAACCACCAGAGCCAACATCACGAACACCCCCGAACACCAACCCCGAACACCAACCCCGAACACCAACCCCCGTACATCATTCATGGTCCCACATGAACAACATCAATTGCCTCTATACGCTCAGTGGTAGAGCGTTGCACTTGTAGCGATAATTCGCCCTGAATTCAGGAATGCAAAGGTCCGTCGTTCAATCCGGCGTGGAGGCATTGTTTTTGCAACTTTCTTTCTTCTTTTTATTCTGCTGAGAGGCGGGGCGCTTTTTTTTCTGTGGGTCCGATCGCTACAAGTGCATAGCTCTACCACTGAGCCTATAGAGGCAATCCCGAGTGTTGTGTCTCGTTGTTGAAAGAATTGCTCGTTGACAGCGCATATATCGGCTGGCGGGCGCCCAAAGGGCGCCCCCAGCTCCGCTGTCCTTAAACCGCGTACCCTTTTGCGCGCACGTTGTTGCAATGTTCTCGAGTTGTGACCGATATTGATGTGGTACAAGCGTTCAAGGGCGTCGAGCTGTATGGCCGGACTCTGTGATGGACTGTGCCGTGCTTTTTCGAATCATTCGCCCTAAATCGAACCCTTTCCAACAAGCTTGCTTAGGTAGAACATTTTGGAGAAACAGGTCACACGAAGACTTTGTTTCAACCGGACTGATTACTCCCTAACGGCTTCAGAAGCAATATTTTTCTTGGATTAGCTATTCCCATCATGCCAACGTGCAGCTGCTTTCTGGCAAACATTCTTCCTTTTTGTACGTAATTACTTATGGTAGCTATGTTGGACAGCTGGCTTGAGAAGCCAGATCAACAACCATCTGCAGCCAGGCAAATCTTAATAGCCACCGATCTGGATCTGCAACTCACGACTTGTGGATTTGTGATATTGGTTCCGATCGTCACCTCAGTGCAGTCCACAGCTCATCCTGTCCCGTGCATCCAAAGTAATCAAATGTAGTTGCGAAGACTTCCAATAGTTCGATGATCCGTGACCCGATTGCTAAGCTAACCCTACTAGATCAGCACATTTAACTTCGCGAATAGCCCAAGATCTGCAGCCCTGGAGCTCCTGCAGCGGCTGTCATCTTGGCGTGTCTCGAAAGAGGCCCTCGCGAACCAGGGGCACGAGGGCCTGTCTGTTTCATCGATCTCCAGCAACACGAGCTGCACTGTTTCACCTCCCACGTTATGTCCTGGACGGTGGTGGCGTCTGCTTGGGATATTCGGGCTTTGCAGCCGTAGGTAGATTGGGCGCCCGGAATTGCAAACTAGGCGCGTAATCCCTAGCAAGCCCGACCCTGGGATTCTCCCATGGGCAGCATCGTGGCGAACCATTTCCCCTGCATCGTTTCAAAAGGATGGACATGGATTCGGGCAGCGTCTCGCAAATCAGACCATCTTCGCGGCTCTGCCGCAGGCATGCCCGCCAGTTCTCCTGCAGCCTCCCTCTCGACCATCCTGCATTCAACGGTCTGGCAACAAATACGTCATGGCAGAGGAGGCCATCTACGCTTCCAAAGCCGTCACGGGCTTTCGAGTGGACAATTTGGCATGCAACGCAACCTAATAATGCCAGTATTATCTCCTTTATATGCTTTCGCTCTGGCTCAAGACGCTCTTCGTGATTGTGCTTGGCTCCCGCCGATCCTACCAGCCGTCACTTCAGCATCCAGCTCGTCGGCTGAACCTCCATCTCAACGCAGCGCGGCCCAACCTCGACGGAACGGAGCGGGTGCGCCCTTGGCAATGCTTCAGGCGACCCCACATGGTCCCGCCTTCGTGCGGCATGCTAATTAGGGAATATTCCAGCTATTGTCCTCGCCATTGATGGGGAGATACGATCGAAACATTGAGATGTATTGTTGGGTCTCGCTCAGAGGTCAACTACGAAATACCGACCTCACAGTTCGAGCGGCCGTAAAACACGGCATCAGCTGATATGATCTGTATTGGATCTTGCGAAGCTGGCGAGAAAGGGAACATGTAACCGACGTAGCCGTGGTTCTGCAAGAATATGCGACACCCAGACGTACAACATGTGACACCAAGGCGACCATGCATTCACAGTCCGTGCCTCCAGATTTATCCAGCTGTGCGCCGAGCGCCATGACGTCTTGCGATGTTTTCTAGAAGGTTGCCCCGAGGCAAGGCGTGTCAAGCCCATGCTCGCAAGTACGCGATACACGTCGGAAGCCTTGAAACACATTGGCCCAGCCTCCTTGCCCCGGCCCTCATTCCAGGGGTCGCCGGCAAAACCAAACCGCCTTCAACCGGCATGCCCCAACTGCGCGGGCACAAGCCATGCCGTGGCCCAGGTTGACGCGCTGATAGCCCCAGGGCTATCAGAAAGCAACAAGACCAAGATACGGCGGCCGCCAGATCACAGCCGTGATCCCACTCTTTCTACGGTGTAGCAGCATGGGGAGCCGGGTTGGAACCAACACGACAAGGGAGCTGTCCAAACGACCTGCGGGCCAGGCTCGGCATCAGGCTGCCTCTGGTCTCCCAACGCTTACGAGCAACTGTAGATCCGTCATCACCTCAGCACAAGGCTGTTGAAGCGAGTCCGGGGTCCAAGCCGAGTAGGAAAGTCGCAGGATCGACTCGAGGTCCTGATGAGATACCGTAGAGATTGCTCTCCACCGCGCGAGGATCAAGCACTGCGGCGCAAATATTGACTTTTGAACCTCTGGCTTGCCGCCTGCACCCTGAATCTCGTTGCTGGCCTGGGACGAGTTGAACCCTCCGAGCGGGCGTTAGCGCCCCCCTCCCTGCCAGGTTTACCCCTGGCCCACCCGCGGACAGCCCATCCTGCCCGCAGCAGCAGCAACGCCCCGCCTCCTTTCGAGCCCTCCCTCCACCTGCTGCTCCGTGGACTGTCGACTCTTCCTCATCCAACCCCGGCCTGGCCTGTGTATCATCAGTGCTGCAGATGTGAGCAGCAACACGACGAGCCTAGGGACACGCGGCCACTCAACCACCGCGCTCTTCAAAGAGCCGCCTCCCCCCGCCTCCGCCATGGCCAACAACGGCAGCATGTACTCGTCGGGGCAGTTCATGAACCCAGGCCCTGCCCCGAAGCCGCCTGGCGACAGACCTCGACTCAACCTCACGCCAAACACAAACCTGCCCGGCAGCATGGCCAACATGACCATCTCCCCGATCACCCGGACCGCCACCTCGACGTACACGGGTTCCACCATCTCGCTGCCCCTCGCCCGCGAGCGCTCTAATGCCACCGACGGCATGGGCGGTGTGGCCGTCATCAAGGAAGGTTGGGCGCATGTCAAGGAGAGTCGCAACTTCATCTCGCCGTGGAAGCAAAAGTACCTCATCCTGCGCAAGGAAGCTCTCGACTTCCACAAGACCGAGGGCGGCAAGGTCTCGTACACGCTCTACCTCAAGGACGTGGTCAACGTCGGCCGCGTCGAGTCCGCCGGCACCATCTTCGAAATCAAGAGACAGCCAAACAGCTCCTCCAACAGCCCCGGAGACGATGACGGCACCACAAAGACACTGCACATCAAGGTCAAGAGCGACGATGACTTGTACGACTGGATAGATCTCATCTATGGGCGCTGCCCAACCATGGGTGGTGTGAGCAACCCGACCAACTTTGCCCATGCGGTCCACGTCGGTTTCGACCCCTCCACAGGCCAGTTTGTTGGTCTGCCGCCGGAGTGGTCGAAGCTGCTCAACTCATCCGCCATCACCAAGGAAGACTACGAGCGAAACCCGCAGGCCGTCTTCGAGGTCCTCGACTTCTACTCCGATCTGACAAAGCGTGCAGAGAACCCCCAGCAGTACCCCAGCCTCACTCCTACCCCTCCTCCAGGAAGCGTGCAGAACAAGCAGCTCGGCTATGGCGCCGGCAGCAACTCGGTCGCACCTCCTCGACCTATGCCCCCAGCGCAGCGTAACAACAGCTACCCCAACCAGCCCCCCCAGGCTGCGAACGCCGCACCGCGGAGACCAACGCCCCCCGAAGGCTCGAGCAGCTTCGGCTCCGGATATTCCCAAGCAGACGCCGCGAGGGAGGAGCAACGCAAGAGGCAGCTCGAGATGCAAAGACAGCGAGACATCGAGGAGCAGAACCGGCGCGAGATGGAGCGCCGCGAGCAAGAGGCTTACGAGGCATCCCTGCCGAAGAAGAAGGTTCCCATGGCCCAACAAGAAATCGGAGGAGGAGGCTACGGCGGCTCCAGCGCATCATCAGATCGATACAACCCTACCCGAGCTGCCCCTCCGGCGCCCAAGGCCGGGACCTCGCAGCAAGCAAACGCCAGCCTGCGTGCGCAGCGTCCTGCGCCGCCAGCGCCCGGGGGTCCTCCTAGCGGGGCTGCCCGCCCCAACATGCCACCATCCTCTGGCAGCAGCTCTTCTGTTCCTCGCGATCAGTCTGGCCAGCGGTTGCCGCCGCGCAACGACCAGCAACAGCGTTATCCCACCAACCCCAGCAGTGCTTCACAGCCGCGCTCGAACGGCCAACCACAGCAGTCGCAGGCGCAACGCATGCCCCCCACGGTCAAGCCTCTCAATGTGCCTGCCAAGCCCTTGCCCCCGACTAACGATGGCATCAAGGCTGCCGAAGCTGCCCTCACAGCCAAGCCACCGCCCTCGGACAAGAGCAAGGATGCGCGCATGTCGCAGATGACAGAGAAGGAGGTCATGACCAAGCTGATAGAAGCAGTTTCCAAGGAGGACCCCAACCTGTCGTATGCTAAGCAAAAGAAGATTGGCCAGGGTGCCTCTGGCTCTGTGTATGTGGCCAAGGTCAAGGAGGGCGCGACTTCGAATGTGGCTCGCGAGGTCCTCCGGCAACAGGGCGCGAGAGCCCAGGTTGCTATCAAGCAGATGGACCTTGCGCACCAGCCCCGCAAGGAGCTCATCGTCAACGAGATCATGGTCATGAAGGACAGCAAGCACCCGAACATTGTCAACTTCCTTGATGCCTTCCTGCGCAACAACAATGCCGAGCTTTGGGTTGTCATGGAGTACATGGAAGGTGGCGCGCTGACTGATGTTATCGACAACAACCCCGTCATCACCGAAGAGCAGATTTCGACGATATGTCTCGAGGTAAGCCACTCACGCACATTGCATCAAAGGAATAGGACCGGGCTAACCAGACTTCACTGTAGACTTGCCAAGGCCTGCAACATCTGCACTCACAGAACATCATCCACCGAGATATCAAGAGTGACAACGTCCTCCTT